AGTTGATTTACATAATGATATATCTGTCCTTGAACTCTGAATGTGTAAATAGCTCGGTATGATTTAAAGAGTTCCTTGTCGTACTTCACACCAAATGAAGTAAATGCGAAGTGATTATTATTGCCACGTGAAAGTTTTTTGAATTCCGTACGTGTAGATTCTGTATACGTAAATAAATCATACAATTTATTTGGTGAATCAGGCATAAAAAGTTTTACATTTTCATCAGAGCAACAAAAACCTTCTATTTCTCTATAAAATTTGTGCGCACCAATGCTTACAATAGTGACGTGTTGGTAATACATATGCAGTAGTTGGCCTAGTGAGCAGGTTAAAACTTGCACTTAATTCATTATCAAAAACATTAGTCAATTCGTCATTTGAACTGGAAGGCCTAGATTTATGTAGATAAGAATTATTGTTTTGAGATAACGTAGTATCATTTATTCTTTTACGATGATCAATACTTATGGTTTGAACTCGATTCCTCCTATCTGTCTGCCTTCGATTTTATCGTTGGCTAATGAAAGTGTCATATGATTTATTCGTGCTTTCGGAAATAGTTTCAAGATTAATGAAATCGTCACCTGATGTTTCCAAAGAATCCATCAATCTAAACAAAATAAAAAGTATTTTATTAGTCAAACAAGTAATAATTAAGAATAATATTAACATTGGATAAAAGTCATAAAACTCTAGTATATATAGCATTTATAAAACGCATAATGTTAAATTTGAATAGCATTATTGTAAAATTTAATGCAATATTATTTCGATTTTATTAGTCTTTAAGATTTTGTATCATTAGCCTGATAGTGTTCTAAAGTTCCCAAATCGAACTTTGGTAGGGAATTGTAAGCAAAGTTCAGTAAAAGGGATAAAAATAAGTTTTCAACATATTTACGTGGTTGTTACATCAAATTATTTGTTCGATCATTCACACGTACTATTATCACTCTCGTTGCTACTTCCACTTGTAAAGAAAGAAACTGGTTTAAATATTCAAGTGAGTACGGAGCTTCCATTGAGGACTAAATAGTTCATCCTTCCTTAATGGCGAGGTTACTTTGGGAATCCTAAAGAGCGGGTTTAAAGTTCAGCAAAAAGTTGTTCATCATAAATTCGACAATAAGAGCAACAGATTTAAAGATGGTAGTATAAGTTATGGGGCAACTACATATAAGATTGTAAAATCATTCTCCTCTAACCATCTTCATCCAGACAAATATGTTTCGTTCTATGAAACATAGTACATTTTTGGATCTAATACGCAACACTACGAGATGTTGCGTATTATATATAAGCTCTTCAATAATATTAAAGTTAAAAATGAATTTGATGATATGGACATCATATCATTGATAACTTTTCATTCCAGTAAACGTATCAGATTATAAGGTAATAGTTCATAGAATTCAGTAGAAATAAAATATGAACTTTAATTTTGTACATATGGAGTAAGAAACATTGTTCTTACTTCATTTGCACGTCTTATATTTCAATCATATTTAATAGTGTATTAGTTTTCTCTTAATCTGTTAATAGTTTCCTCCAGAATTTACTAATTCCCTTATTTTGTTGATTCTCTAAGGTTCATTGTTAGCCTCAAACATACTACATCTAAACAACGCTTTTTTCTCTTCCTATTGCCAGGTAATATGCACTCTTCTCTTCTATTTTTTTCCTTCCTATTTGGTTCTTACATTTCCAATTTATTGTCTCCTTGTATTTATAGAAAATTGAACATGTAGGTTACTTGTATAATTTTCAATTCGTTAACCTCAAAGACGCACTGTATTATGTAATGTTGAGAAAAAAAATGCATACAGAAGAAAGAAGATAGTAAGTAAAAAAATTAAGAATATTACGCACAACGCGGAGACACGGGAACGTGTCTCCCCATTGTGGGAAACACTGTCTCCCAGTGTCCCCAGCACAGTGCGGAGACACGATGTCTCCACATTGTGGGGAGACACGACTCTGTGGCTCAAAACTTTTTTTTTTTTTCAAATTTTTATTTTCCTACCACACTGATTAACACAAACTAAATACACTTATTAATAATTTAATTCAAAAACATAAAATTTTTGTTTCAACGGCTCAAACTTTTTTTTTTTCAAATTTTTATTTCCTATCACGCTGATTAACACAAATTAAATACACTTATTAATAAAAAAACATTCTTTCAAGAATGGGATGGGAAAACAATACAATTGTATCTACAAAAAAAAATAAGCAAGGGAGTGTTGCTACAAACGTAAACAATAATAGACGTTAAGGAGAAACTCTCTTACTCTCTGTGCTGCAAGAAAATTTTGGGTTTTGTTGGGTTCTTTGTATAGTTCACACACGACAAATTGGAGCTGGAGACGACGAACAATAGAGGAATGTAAAATTGATTGTCGCGATTTATATGGAGAGAGTTATTATAAAGAAGATATTTTAAATATCAGTGTAATACCTTTGCTTCTTCAAAAAGGAATAAATATGCGTGGAAGAAAAAAGATATTTTATATATTGAAAGAGAAAGTGAACAAAGATGGTTATTATACTGTACATTCTGTAGAAAAACCAGTTACAATAAAGCTATGTGTGAAAACTCATATGACAAAAATGAATAGTGAATGAGCATTCCCTCTTTTAAGATAGGAGGGATATGTATATATACACACACACACACATAACCACACTTTAACATGTTATCTCCAACGTATTTAGACAATTTATTTTTTAATTTATATAAAATTAATGTATGAAAATTTAAAAGTAACTTCTCTATTGAAATTTGGGAGTAACTTTTAATTTTTTTTAAAATGGGAGTGTTTGACACCCATTTTAATGGGTTGAAAATTTTTGGAATAGTGATTGATGGGAGAATGTGTGGTGGAAAATGATGAAAATTTTTAGATTTTTGTGTAATATTATTTTATTTGGAGATTGTGTGATTGAAATGAAAAAAGAGAATGAGAATGGGTGCCAAACAGGGGCTTATTTCAAACTTCTAATTGTAGGGTAATTTACTTAAAATTTAACCAATCATGTTCTCGCTAACATGGCTCAATTAATAAAAATTACAACCAACTCAAAAATCATGTACTCCTTCCGTCTCATTTATTTATGCTAGTTTTATTTTTTACACAAATTTAAAAACCTTATTTAATGTCATTGAAAAAGTATTTTTTGCAAAAAAAACTTTCTCAATTTACCCTTATTTAAGTATCAACAACTAGCAGTAAATTATTATTGGAAGTAATAAAGAAATTGAATGATTTAATTTTTAAAAAGTATGTATCTTTATATTTGTACAATTTCAAGATTAAGCCTCTATTTGAGCCACATTAAAATTTTTATTCTCATTTTTCTACTCATTTTCAGCCACATATTCTTCAATAAAATAATATTTTTCACCACATCAATAAATTTTCCTTTTTTTTTTAACCATACATTCTCCATCAATCTACTATTTCAAAATACATTCTCCTAAAATAATTTGGCTCAAACACACCCTAAATGGAAAAAATTGGATATAATTAGGCAAATTAAATAAGAGTATATTAGTAAATGAATAAAACAGAACATTCCCAATAAAGAAATATGATTATATAATTGGAACAAGAAAATAATGAAAGTCAGCATATATAAATGAGATGAATGGAATATAATCTAATCGTGAATGTAAGAGATACAGTAATTGACGTGGTCTATACGGTCACCCCTTCCAATGAAGCGGGAGCATCTTCGACATAACCATTTTTGGCATATTATTTTGAACTCGATGTACAACGATTTCTCAATATAAAGATGCATTGTAACATTCGCCATGAATATTTCAAAAACAGTACCAAGAACCTACACTGATGAATCAAGAACATATCAAAGAAATAAGCCAAAGAGCTGACATAAAAATGAGAATTACGAGACAAAAATTAAAATTATTAAATTCATTTCTAATGATCATCTTTGACTAAGTATTTTTAAATCGTAGTTTAAAAGGTTTTTCGGTCCGAAAGATTCTATACAAAGAAACCAAGCTAAATTGTAATCCAACAAATAAAAAATTTGTTTTTCATTTATACATTAGACGTACTTCCTGAAGCCTATTGGAAGCTCTATCGATTGGGGTTTTTGACTCTTTACTTGAAAACATTGCAAAAAATCATGTGTGGTTATAAATAAATAAGTTTGTTCTACATAAATAATTATTAATCGACAATATTGAAAAATAAATAAGTTATTCACAATAACAAAATAACTTTTTAACTTACCAAGTAAAGTCAGCCAATCATGATCGTCAACCGTCTCGATATGTATTTTCAAAATTAACTCGTAGTCGTCAAGAAATTCAGAATCATTGTCGAATTTCACAAAACCATATTTTGCCACCACAAAGGAACATCTAAAACCGTTGAAAGCCAAAAAAAAATTACAAAAACAGAACATTTTTACCAAAAAACCTTCAACCAAAGATGTCATTTTACTTGAAAGTTCACCAAATTATAAAACATTCAATGGCCATTAATTTAACATTCTATGGCCACTAATTTAACCATGTGAACCAAAAATGATATTTCAAGCTTAGATTTAAAGGGATTCTCACATGGTTTTGGAGCATAGAAAATCAGCTATACCACTGAAGCAGATTTCTGGGTTCTGAGGCCAAACAAATTTTGAAATATCATAGATGCATCGGGAGGAAGTTTCATGGACCGAGGTGCCACAAAATTGACGATCTTTTCATGAATATGATACCTGCATAATCAAATCCGACGTTATAGGCAACTGCAAATATAGAAATTTGTTGGATGTGCCAAGAGTCGATCAACCCGCTGACAACTTACCGGAGCTTGCGACTCTTTGAGGCACGCCGGTCAACAATTTTTCGTTTCTTACTTTGCAATCTCTTCATAGCATAAAGGGTTGTCTCTGTCAACAATCAAGATTGGAATCAAACTCTTCAATCCCATCCTTCCATTTACGTATTTCGTCCTTTTACATTTCTTTTTTTATAACCGTGGATGTCTGGACCAACTTGCGCGTACCTCGACTAATTTTGGTCCTGAAGTTTACAGCTGGATACTCACCTCAATGGCCCCTGGGGAACTCGAACCGGTGACCATTGGAGGATAAATCCTTTTTACATGACTTCAACAATGTCGTTAAATTTTCCTTGCGTGAGATGCACGAGCAAATATTTGATTGGTAAAGTTCGTAAGATATATTTGGCACATGCTATAATCTTTTAGATATAAATATATTCATTTTCAATTTCAATAGCTTTATTGTTTACTTTCAAATGCCGCTAAACTATTGACCACCGACTATCGTAGCCCCCGTCGACCAGTGTTGGGTCCCTCAAATAAGAAATCCTAGCTCCAACATTGATGCAAGTTAAATAATAGCGCAAGTTGATGGGAAAGATTGGCAAAGTATGGTAATTTGGATTAGATCAAACACCCTTTTTTTGGGTGATATCTTCAAAAAAGACCATGCTCAAATTGCCCATCAGGTGGTGGATACAACCGAAAAGGTAGAAGTGTTGCCAAAAAATTCACTCGAATAAGCACCACACGCAAATGAACGAAACTGAAGTGTCGGGTCAAGGAAGGCTTTCGTGCAGGTTGATAAAAAAAATAGGTATGTGCAAATAATGTCACCATCTAAACCCCAAAAAAGCTTAATTACTAGCATGTAACATATAAATGGAAGATAGTGATAAGTTAGAAAGCAATGCATAATACCCTTGCAAAATCCATTCACAAGTGACAGCATGGAATGAAGCATATTAAACTCGAAGGAATCTTACCAGATGATGCTGGATTTATTGTCTCAAGGAACTCCTTGAGTAATTGTTGATAGAATTCGGAGTCATCCAGAAGTACAGGGTCAAAGCTTGCATTTGTGTCCTGATAAATTTTATACCATCAGATATCGAGGGTGGATAACTTTTTGAATATAGTAACGCTGCTGAAATTTCGTTTTGCTGGGTTTCCGTAATTATTGTGACAACACAAGGAAGAAATATAGCCAGGCTACATAATCGCAATAGAGAATGTCATTGGAGTAAAGAAATTGATACCTCTAGCTTAGTTTCGTTTGTCGATAATGAACCTGCCCAGAATGAAATGCTTAAAAATTCAACATATGCACACATCATTTGGAAAAGAACAACAGCACATGCACTTTTTTATCAAATCAGGTAGTTGCACTATACCAACTAAAACTTAAAAAATAAAACTGAAACCTACATTTCCAAATACAGAAACAACCAATCTGTTCTGCTGCATCCCTTTGATCATCTTATTTGGGTCTCTCATGTAAGCAGCCACTTGTTCGCTAATATTCTGAAGAATTCTAAATAGTCAGTTGTCGACTATTGTACATTTCAATGTACAAGAAAACAATTCAAGTCTTAAAAGCTAAACCTGATTAAAGGTGTGTAATTTGCCTCTTATAGCAGCAGCAGAGTATTATTCAACAATATTTACTATAGGTGCAAATATCCCCGTTACAAATAACACAAAGTACAACCAAAACAGAACTTGAACTATTCATTACTCAAAATATAAAAAGTATTATTCAACGTGCAAAGCCAAATCATAACAAGTAGAAAACATGGTTATGGCCCAATTATGTTAGACGCCCTATGCAGAAAAAATTTGAAGTATATTTATGTTAAAAAAATTTGAGACAAAATGTAGCAAGCAGGTCAACTACCTCACTTTCCCTCTTCGGCCAGTTTTTTGGCCAAACGGAGAGGGGCTTTAGGTTATCCTCTACCTTGAGATTTGCAAGTGAAAAACAATTCTAAAACTCCGAGATGCTTTCATCACTAATCTAGTGTCAAATTTGCTAATTTGACACCCATTTTCTTTCTCATTCTCATTCTCTTTTTTCATTTCAACCACACAATCTCCAAATAAAATAATATTACACACAAATCTAAAACTTTTCATCACTTTTCCACCACACATCCTTCCATCAATCACTATTCCAAAATTTTTCAACTCATTAAAATGGGTGTCAAACACTATATAAGATTTACAGACACGACACAATACTGACAAACCAACACATTTTTTTTCAAGAAATAGGACATTGACACGTCTGGTTCTAGCAAATTTTAATTCTTTAGAATTGTACATATATCGTATATCTTAATTTTCTACACTTTTTTTCCCCATTTTGAGTGGGGGTGGGGTTCTGTTATGTATCTTATGGTGTGCACTAGGCCTGACTTAGCATATGTTGTTAGTACACTTAGTAGATATATGTCCAATCCTGGTCTCAAACATTGGGAAGCTTTAAAATGGTTGTTTAGATATTCAAAAGGAACATGCAATGCTGGTTTAATATATAAGTTTAGTACTGAAGAAGTAAAATTGAAAGGTTTTACTGATGCTAATTATGCTGGTGATAGAGATAATAGGAAATCTACATCTTCCTATGTGTTTAATTTGTGTAATTCATGTTTTAGCTGGAAATCACAACTTCAATGTATTGTTGCGTTATCTACTACTGAATCTGAATATATTGCTGCTGCTGAAGCCTTTAAAGAACTTTGTGGTTTAAATGTGTATTAAATGAACTTGGTGTTTTTAATAACAATGTGATAATATACTCTAATAGTCAATCTGCTATTCACTTATGCAAAAATCCTATCTTTCATGAATGTACTAAACATATAGATGTTAGATTGCATTTCATTAGAGATATGGTTTCTCCACATTATTTTGGAAGAATGTATTCTGAAATAGTAGATCGATGGAGAATTTGTGATTGAAAAAGAAGGAAAAGTTATTGATGTGATGGAAAATATTATTTTATTGAAAAATGTGTGGTTGAAAATGAGTAGAAGAATGAGAAAGAAAATTTTAATATATACCAAATGGGGGCTTAATAAATTAAGTCAAGAAATGAGTCGATTCACGAGCTTAAGATGAGCTGACTCATGAAAAAGTTTTGAGTTTGACTTAACCCATAACTCTCAATACGAGATCAAGCAGCCCACAAGTCGAATCGATGAGCCACGAGCAGCCAAACCCATTCATCCCTAATTTTCTAAACAAGTTTAGAGAATCTTCGAAATAAGGTTATATTGACATATTTTTATTTCTTTCATTTTTCTCTTTTAATTCATTTAATAAACAAATAAAGGATCTCTTTGTAAAATTTAACATATTAGGGGACTTCGGAATAAATTCTCCGTTGAAAACAAAATTAGATTGAGAAGGACAGGAGAAGAGAGAGAGCGTGTCACGTGGGTATGGCCCATGGTTTCACGTGGATATGGGCATGCAATGCTTGCCCACCAGACAGAAGTTGGGTCCCACTTGAAAGCCACTCGTGCATGCGTGACACCTTTGTCCCTTTGCTATCTGACACGCGCTTGGGTACAATCATTGGATACTTCCTCTTTAAATCATTCCCATGATATATCAGTGGACCGTATCAATTCCACGCGCTAAAGGGAAGGTGTTTGCACGTAAAATTTGCAATCTTAACCGTTGTTTGATTCTATTTATTTGAAAACCCTTTATTTTTAATATTCATTTTCAATTATATATTGATATAGTAAAATATTTTACACGTAATTTTCCTACTTTATAACCAAATATTTTTCAAAACATCACTATTCAAAACATTATTTTTCCTAATTTTTCTTTATAATGGCCATCAAAAGAGAGCACAAGTTAAAATGTTTATATGAATTAAAATATGAATTTACGTCAAAATCAATAATTAATTTTATGAATTCACAATTTTTAGCAACATATTTCATTAATAGTCTGTTTGGGCCCCATTTTTTAAAAAACAAAAATGCATTTTGAAATAGCGATTTGATAGAAAATATGTGGTTACATGTAATATTATTTTATTGAAAAATGTGTAGTTGAAAATAAAAGAGAAAAATGTATTTTGAAAATAATGGAGATCAAACAATGGCTAAATCATTGTTTGATGGTCATTATTTGGAAAAAAATGATATTTTGAACAGTAATTTTTAGGAGAATGTTAAAAAGTAACAAAAATTTTCGAATTTATATGCAAGATATTTTATTGTACGAATGTATGATTAAAAATGAGTATATATAGAAAAAAGAGTTTTCAAATAGTGATTACCAAGTATGGGCTAAATTTTATTTAAAAAAATTATTGAAAATGATTTTAATTGTTATCCGACAAAATCGCTAAAAAATTAAAGAAAAGTCATAGGTGGTGTTTTTTTTCCCTAAATATTGATGGACTTATCATTAAATAGTTTATTGTTCTTTCGGTGTAGATCAAAAAGTTTGCTTACGAAGTCTAATCAACAAGATATATGAAAAATATTTTGGATGTCGATTCAAGTTGCTTGCAAGCTTGTAAAAAGATACTGTATGATATTCATCATCCATGTTTAGTTGAATTTTAACCATAGCATCTAAATTCTGTCTTGAGTCATCGCTCTCATTGGGAAATCAAGTGTATAATCCTAGTCACTCCATCGTACAATAAAACACTTTGAAATTCCAATCAATACATCCGTAGAGTTTATCAATTATCGAACCTAAATATATCTTATTCCTAAATTATATCATACTCATCCACAAATGGGGAGCAATTCGAAGGGGGCACCAAATATAATTCCACTTGAACGGCTACAATATCTTTGTCGTGGCCAAGAGAAATATGATTGGCAAAAAAGCTCTATGTTTGCTCCCAATTTTAATGATCGGGATATTAAACGATAGGATAAAACCTGACCCACTTACCTGCACGTGTGGCTCATAGTTGTATTCATTTCTTCACTTGCAGTACCTTCATATATTGGAATGCTATTTGTAAACACGACCGAGGAACAATAGTTTACGGGACAGTGAGGTCATTGTCATATTTTTCAATATACTAAAATATATTTTAACTTTTCTAGAGGTTATGACAATTCACTACACTAGAATATCCATGTTTGTCTAGACTAAAAAGTAAAATCGGATTATTTTAAAATAAATCATAAAAATGTTATTTTTCTTCATTTGATATATTTATTTCTATTAGAAAATTATTACTCGTCGAGGTCTATAATAAAAAAAATTGGCGATCAAATTCTACAACGCCTTTAATTACTCAAATGATATATAAAGAAATCGTTCTCAAATTTTTTTTTTAAAAAAAGTGAAGGAAATAAAATGACAAACTAGCTTTATACGGTAAAAAGTGGATGGGTATTTTCAGTGCTAGTAGTCTATGAAAGTGTCCGTAGTGATGTTCCATTAAGTGGTGGAGTGTTGGACCGAGTTTTGGGCTTGACCCATTTGTGTTGTTGACCTAACTAATCGGTTTCCTATACCATGTTGAACTTTTTCCATGTCCAATGGAATAGTAATAGTGGAAATTATACAAAACCAGAATTTTAAAATGCAGATTTCAAAAATCAGATTTTAAGAATTTTTTTTCAAATATCAGATATTTATTCATCTTTCAAACATATCCCCAACTCATTATCTGTTAAACATATCCCCAACCCATTATCTATTAAACATATCCCCAACCCACCCAACCAAAAATTCTTACTTCTAGAATTCAATCTTCACGTTCCAGTTCTACTGTCGCGAGAGAGGGCGATTCGAAGCTTGAGGGTGGCGCATTTGAGTGTAGCGTTGAGGCGCAACTTCATCGGGTTGGGGGCGATCTGTTGCATCGATCTGTACCAGCAGCTGTGGCAGCGATCTGTACCAGTCAACTTCACGCGGTCATGGTGTTTCTCCGGCGATTTGTCGTGGCCAAAGTGTGGTGCAATGATGGTGTGTATGTGCTCTGCTTTGTGATTTGGCAATACTTTTTGTTGGGATGGTGGTGTTAGAGTGGTGGTGGATCGAACCAGTTGTGGTGTTTTGCCGATTTGTGGTGTTTCTACTCAATTTGTGGTGGCCAAGGTAGAGTGCGATGATGGTGTGTCTTTGCTCTGGGTCGTGATATGGCAATAATTTTTGTTGGTGCGGTGGTGTCAGATTGGTGGTGGATCAAAAGGGATTTATTGAATCTAATGGTGGGGGTGGCTTTTGGTGGAGGAGGTGGTGAATCTGGCATTGATATGTCAATGAACTAGTGCCGGAATTTTTTAGGTAAGTTTTGTTGTGTTTGCAGTTGGTGGTGGCTGGTGGTGGTGGCCGTCGTGGTGAGAGACGGCCTCTATGGTGATGGCGATGGTGCGGTGATTGGTGATTGGGTATAGTGCTACGGTGGTGGTGTGCGGTGGTTTGATGCTGTATGGTGATGGTGGTGCTGTAAAATTGGTGGTGGTTACGGCAGTGGTGGC